AATGCCAAGGAGGAGGCTCAATGCAGCTGCAGCTGCTTGCTCAGGTTCTTGCCATATTAGCCCTTGATGAAGGAAAAGCACCTAGTGTAGGTGATGCCTTGAGTCTCCCTCTAGATGATTCCTCGAAACACTGTGAGTGCATGAGGATGTCCAGTGGTGTCACTGAGCCTAGTTCCTTATGCATACTCAGGTTTTCTGGACATGGGAGACGGGGAGATGTTAAATAATGAGAAAAAACATGTATCATAGCCTCTGTTCCTAATATATAAGCTTATTGGATAACCTGAAGATTGGGGGTAAGACTATAGCTTTTCTGGTTTCTCAGACGTTGTCTGGGTTATCATTATAATCTGTCCCAAAACATTTTATTTATTTGTCTGACTTAGCTACTTTTAGCAAAATTTTCTGGCTTTGATGAACATTGCTATCTCTCCTCTGGACATGAGCTACATGTCTTTGACAGAAGCCTTTGACACTGTCTCCTGAAGCATTCTCCTGGAGCAAAGTGGCTTCTCATGGCTTGGACAGGTGAATTCTTCACAGAATGAAAAACTGGCTGGATGTCTGAGCCAAGATAGTGGAGGGGAATAGAGTTAAATCCAACTGGTGGCCAGTTACAAGTGATGCACCACAGAGGAATGTAGCTGGAAAGCTGCCCAGCAGAAATGGACCTGGGGAATGCTGGTGGACAGTGTCTGAACATGAGCCAGCAGGATGCCCAGGTGTCCAAGAAGGTATCCTGGATTGTATCGGCACAGTTGTCCATTTCTCCCCCCTCCAGTACCCAACCCTTTGTTGGGTGCTGCGCAAACACCAGCAACCACTAGCCTGTCCCAGCAAACCAGAGAGAAAAGACTAGTGATGCAAAACAGGGAACAGAGGAGACAAATAACTTTGCCAAATGTCATACAGCAGATCAGAAACAGAGCTGGAAATGAGATGTAGACCACCAGGTCCTGGGACCACATATGTCCCTAGAACAAAAAAGGAGCTGGAACATTAGGTCTTAACAGAAATCCAGTGATTTAGAGTCATAGGTAGAGAGACACTTTCAGTTTAAAGGTCATGCTTCATTACCCAGACCTATAATCTATTTCACTTGAACTCTACAAACTAGCTTAAACAAGAATTAGATGGTACATGTCTTTCCACTTCCTGGATTGGGCTGTTCTGGAGAGAGAAAATTTACGGGGATGAAGAAATAGCATTTATGAGCTCGATGAAGAAGATTGGAAAAGCACACAAAAAACCCCCTGACAAACACAAACAGTGATATTTCAGGCACAGAAGTCTTTTACCAGGGCTAAAAAAAGACAAAGACTTTCAATGCAGGTTGAGAATAAATTGCTCTAAATTTATATTATAATTATCTCTGAAGTTATCTGAAAGGAATGATGGTTAGTACTTGTGAAACAGAGGCAGGATGATCATTAGCAATGCGGACATGAACACCTGTGGGACAGAATGTCTGAACGAGCAAGGTAATTTTTCAGTTTGCTTCATTTTGTGTCCTTGACAGCAGTGGATGAGGAGTCACTGCCATGTTTCTTCCTTAACTCAGTCATCTTTTTATTCTATTGTTTTCTGCAAGGTTTTGCTACTTCATGAAAGAAGAAAATATTTGGGAAACATCTCACCTACCATTTGTCACTAAAACTTGGGCACTTCCTCCAAAGCAGCCACTGCAGTTCATGGAGGCAGACATAAACTGGGCCCATTTGCTGACAGGACTTGTGACCCTGCAAGGGACCTACCCAGCCTGTTCCTGAAGGATTGCAACCCATGGAAGGGACCCACTCTGGAGCAGTTAATGAAGAACTGGAGCCTGTGGGAAGGACTCACATTGGAGAAGTCTGTGGAGAACTGTCTCCCATGAGAGGGACCACAGGCAGAAGCAGGGGAAGAGTGTGAGGAGCCTCCTTCTGAGGCGGAAGGAGCAGCACAGAAAACATGTGATGAACTGACCACAGCTCCCATTCCCTGTCCCCATGTGCCACTGGCAGGAAGGAGGCAGAGAAAATTTGAAGTTGAGCCCAGCAAAAAGGGAGGGATGGGAGGAAGGTGTTTTAAGAACTGGGTTTTCATTGATCATTACCCTACTCTGATTTGTTTGGTAGTAAACTAATTTCCCCAAGCTGAGTCTGTTTTGCCCATGGCAGTACTTGCTGAGTGATCTCTCCCTGGTGTTATCTCAACCCACGAGCCTTTTGTTGTAATTTCTCTCCCCTGCCCAGTTGAGGAGGGGAGTGCTAGAACAGCTTTGGTGGGCATCCAGAAAGGGTAACCCACCACAGAGGCCATCAGCAAAGACATAAAAAAGTTACAAAACTTTATTTTTAATATTACTTGGACCCAAGATTCCATTCCAGCCCACCAGGCTGCCCAGGGGAGGAGAGCAGCTGGGACCCCTGTACACTAAATTGTTGGCTTCCCAACGATAACATACCTAAAGCTGCTGCTTACTGCAGTGTTGAGAGTCGCATCTGACACTCTGAAAACATTCACTACAATTCATTTTGGATCTTAACAGCATTTAATTCCTTCACTGAGGCATTGCAGACAGTGATCTTCTCCATTAGTGCTCTTTTTTGTGCTCATCACAGAACATGCCTCATGCAGCAGCAGGGTGTATGTCTTGTAAGAAGAAGTGCATTTTAAATTGTACTGGGTCTACATCCAACTTGTTTGCCATATATTTAAAGCTGAAAGCACTCTAGCATTAGCTACAGCTCAAAAGCAGACACATAATTCGTTTCACATCGAAGCACACTTGGATATACTCTTACCTCAGACTAGCAGAGATAAATGACTTGCTGGAAGATACAATTTGTAGGACAGAACATTTATTTTGCAGAGACTGGAGATTTTCTAAAGCTTTATTATTGTTGCAATGAATCAGTATTTGCTACTTGATGTAATCTTGGCAGCTCAGCAATATGCTTTTTACGGTTTCAAAAAGAAATGCAGAGTAGTTGTTTTATTTCAAAATAGCATCTTTTTTGTTTGTTTTGAAGGAGGTGCATATGTAGGGCTACTAGATGACAGGTCTCAAAATGCATACGAAGTATTTTACCTTCAGAAGGTGACTATTACAGATCAGATTCTGCATAGTAGTGTTTTCATTAAAATAGCTGAATGTGAAAAAGAAGAACAAATTGCAGTCAAGTCTTTGAGCCTGCACACAATTATACGTGCTGGTATTGTTCTAAGCGCATGATGGCTTATTGCATTACAGGGGTCTCCACTAATGCAGCTCTGCTTACAACATTTGCAGGACTAGAGCCCAAAATAATAGCCTTCTGATTCTGTATTTTCAAGCAAAGGTATTTCTAACCTTGTTAACAGACTTTCCTCCCTCTTCTGCATCAACTGGAGAGTATCCATTCTGTTTCATATAGAGCTAAAAGCCTGTTATGTTGATAATACTTGGAAGCAGCTTAGTGCACTGGACAGTGTTTACATTTTTCAGACATGTGAGTGACTTAGGAACATCAGCACCTTTAGGACAGCACAGTTAAGCAGAACAGGATCTGAAACTCCAGTACCGGCCAGTATTAATTTTAGCTGGGGAGGGCTTTTGAAAACAGAAAGCTAAGGAAACAATCAATGCAATTTTAGAAGCGCTGTATGCATGCACACACATTCAGATGTGTTTAGTTTATCCCTGCCATTCTTGCTTTCTCTATAACGCTGCTAAATTTAAAGAATAAATCTTGATTTCATCCAGTGACTTGCTCCCCTCCTTTCCTTGCTCCCGACTGTAATATCTATTATCCAAAAAAATCTCTCTTCACCTCCATACTGTTAACTGCATCCCTTAGTTAAAGCTGAAAGCACCCTCCTACCTCTAGATGAAGAAAAAAAGGATAGGAATTCTTGCTTGACTGTTACTATAATTTACAAAAGTCCACAGGCTGATGGCATGCAGTATCCATTATGCCACCCAAAGCAGAAGAAAAATGCTTCAGTCTCTCCTCACGCAAGATTTGCAGTGGCATCACTGGGACTTTTGCTTCAGCAATAGCTTGTAGAACTGGCAGATAAAAAAAATTACACAGAATATAAATTGAATTTATGACATAACAAATAATATTTAATAGATAGCATTGAATGCATATACATATCAATACCAGTGCTGTAACAACAAAACAGAACTTGTAAAATTAGCAGCAGTTTTTTGCAAGTACAAAAATACACATTTTATTCAGAACATATATAATAGCAAAATTTAACAGGATATATTATACAAACTCAAAGCATTTAGATAATGCATCACTTTAATATATTATATGATGTATGACACAGACAGTGAGATCATCAAGTGCAACCTCAGCAATATTGCAGATGACATGATGCTGAGAGGTGCAGTTGACACAACAGAAGGACGGGGATGCCACCCAGAGGGACCTACACACAAGCTCAAGAAGTGGATCCATTGGAATCTCATCAGGTTCAACAAGTCTAAGTGCAAGGTGCTGCACCTTGCCCTGGGTTGGGACAATCCCAGATATGGGCACAGACTGGGAGAAGAACTCCTGAGAGCAGTCCTGTGGAGAAGACCCTGGGGGTGCTGGTGGATGAAAGGCTGGACATGAGGTGACGATGTGCACTCTCAGCCCAGAAAGCCAGTTATATCCTGGGCTGCATCAAAAGCAGTGTGGCCAGCAGGGCAAGGGAGGGGATTCTGCCTCTACTTTGCTCTGGTGAGACTCCAGCTGGAGTGCTGCATCCAACTCTGGGGTCCCCAGCACGGGAAAGACATGGACCAGTTAGAGGTGTCCACAAGAGGGCCACAAAGAACCTCAGAGGAAAGGAACACCTCTTCTATGAGGAAATGCTGAGAGAGTTGGGGTTGTTAAGCCTGAAGAACAGGCGGCTTCAGAAGACCTCACTTCAGCCTTCCAGCACCTTAAGGGGGCTTATAAAAAAGAGGGAGATTATTTTTTTTATATGGGAAGACAGTGACAGGACACGGGGCAATGGTTTTAAATTGAAAGAGGGCAGGTTTAGATTAGATCTTAGGAAAAAATTCTTTCCTATGAGGGTGGGGAAGCACTGGAACAGGTTGTCCCAAGAAGCTGTGGATGCCCCATCCCTGGAAGTATTAAAGGCCAGGTTGGATGGGGCTTTGAGAAACCTGATCCAGTGGAAGGTGTTCCTGCCCATGGCAGCAGGGTTGGAACTAGATGATCTTTAGGGTCTCTTCCAACCCAAACCATTCTATGATTCTATGTTTTAGATGCTGCATAATAAAATTACGTGTGTTCTGCTTGCAATAATACATAATGCCATTTACAGCAATGTTAAGAAAATATCCACAACTTAAACATGAACAGAACAGCCAACAAAGCACAATAAATGAAACACACAGAGTTGCAGGGTGTTAGTTACAAGCTTCTGCATTTCCCTTTACATATTTTTGAGCTTACTTTTGTCTTTCTTTTGCAGTGTGAAAGGAATAACTACACCTATCAAACATACCACATAAACATACAGAAAACAATACACTTACTCCTGGGAGGACAATGAAGGGAATATTTATCAGTTTCAGAACAGTAGTATAATACCACAGTTATGGAATCTATGCTGACTTTGCACACTACATCAAAAGCACAAAGGACTGGGACTCACATCTTCAAGGCTCAACACTCGAGTGGTCAAGGGGAGAGGCCCAGCAGGCACCCTGCTGCCCTGGCAGGGTCAGAGAACAGGGCACTGGCCTTGGTTACCTCCTGGGTCCCTTCCGGATTTTCAGGAGACTTCTGTTTGCTTGCGTTTTAGCAATTTTTATTATTCTTACAATGTTCTTGCAAAGCTTTATGTCGGAACATTACTCAAACAGTTTCCTAAAAAAAAGAAAACTTGTGAGTCTGGGGACTGCTCAATTAAATTTGAACAACCTGGATGTTAAACTTAAAATGAACACACATTAACACCAAAGGCATTTTCTTTATGGTGTTTATTTTAAGCATCAATATTCCTCTGCAAAAAAGCTTTGGTCAGTCTCTTTAAACTTTGGATTGCTGTAATGTTTTTCTAGACTTCCTCTTTGATCGTGAAGACTGTCTCTTCCTGTGACTTTCAGAGGCAATGCCTGAATTTTAGGCTTAATCAAATAGCCATCAACTCCATCAGTAGGTTTCAGGGGGGCTGGCCTGCTGTTGGGCTCTACCAAGCCCCTTTCAGCCACAGCGTCAGTAGGTTGTGGAGATGGTGGCACCTTGGTGGGTGTAACCAAATAGTCACCAGCCACAGCAGCAGCAGCAGTAGCGTCTTCGTGTTTCTTTAGCAATTGAAAAGTGCTGTCGAAAGGGCAGGAGGCTTCACTTAGGGTAAACAGAGTCTGGTCTGAAAACTGTGAGAAAGCACTGTCCAGAGAGCAAATTGATGACACAGATGGAGATGTCCCAGAAGAAGACTGGCTAGAACAGCTAAATCCTGAGCAAATATTTAATCCCTCTGGTGTTGGAGGCAGGAGACAATGGGACAGGTCTTTCCTTTCAACGTTTTGATTTGTGTTGTCACTTTTACCAACATTAATCCCCATAATCAAGCTCCGATTGCTAAGCTTTTGCCTTTCCATCTGCAACGACCGAAGCTGACAGAGATAGTCTTCATCTTCATGAGATAGGACAACATCACAGCTGGCTTTGCGTGTTGCCTTCTCATGACCATCATCAGTGTGGACAAAACTGGAGGCAAGGAGGGCAACTGCAGGCTCGGAGGAGCGTCTGTGTCTCCTGGAAGTTTTGAGAGCACCTGAGGTAGCGGCTGAGGAGAAACCCAGTGCGCCGGAGCGCAGAGATTCATTCTGTGAGTTTTCTTGTGATGAAAACTTCAGGTGCATGCCAACAGAAATTGCCAACTGCTTTGATCGGGTCTCGCTTTGGATTTCATCCACCTCTGTCTGCTCCGAATCACCATCACTCAGAGTGAAGACAGACTCCCTGCTCCGGTTATCTTGATCGCGGGTTTTAATCCAGTCACTAGAAGAAGAGTCAGCTTCATCATTCGCCTCATTTTCCAGGCTGTCATAGGAAGAATCATTCTGATGGAGAGAAGCAACATCTGCAAGGACAAAATCTAGAGTTAACACATCAGTGACTGAACCACCCTATTGACAAGCAGCTTCCTTTTTTTTATTTTTTTTGGCAAGTATCCTTTACTTTCAGGAGTATTTGCCCTTTAAAGATTCTTCAAGCAGAAATACCAATAATTTCAGAAAAAATTACTATCTGACTTTGAAATGGAAAAGATCAAGTGAGTGCTAAGCTGCAGTTCAGTCAAGAAATACAGGATAATGGCACAATTAAAGGTTAGGGTTTTTTTTTTGTTGTGGTTTCCTTGGTTTGTTTTGGTTTGGTTTTTTTAAGTGGTGAACTTTAGTAGTAGATAATCTAGGTGTAAACAATTATTTACATACATACATGTATTTAACGGGTAATTATTGAATTTTTCTTTTCATTATTGAATATTGAAAATAACATTTAACCTTTCTTTCCTTCTTTTAGACAAATGAAGAAAACAGGGCATACTTCATATTTCCATGGTCTTCCAGAAAATAATTTTCCTTCCAGAAAATATATTTTTAAGAGCAACATAGTGAGTTTTAGTCTCAGTTTAAACAGGCACCTCATTTCCACTCAGCAGTGCACAGCTGGGTCCTAATCTGTATTTGCGATAATTGGAATTACATTAAATCTCTTTTGCTCCGGGCCACTCTAAGCTGACTTATCTCACATTTGCAGCAGACGCAGTTCCCATGTGCTTCACTCCTGCGGAGGGGGTAGGCCAAATTTCACTGGATTTCATCAAATCTCACCTGGAGCATGAGGAGTTCAGAACAGGCACACTGAGTCAGTCTGGCATAGCAATGCAAGTGCCATTACCACTTTGAGTATAGGCCAGCTGGGACAAAATCTATTTTACAAAAAATGCTGCTTTAGAAACACTTTAAGGAGAGACACAAAACTCCAGTCAAATTTAATGCTATCACAAAGTTGGAGAGAAAAAGAGCACTAAGAATAATCTGGAGAGTTCTGTCAACTAGTCTGTCAGACTAGTTTCAGTCACCAGTTCCGTCATTTTTCTGTGCTAGTAGCAAAATCTGGATGTCCCATTGAAATTATGGATATCTCTCTCTTTTGATAGTGAAGAATAGACACTTTCAATCCTAATATAATGGTGTGACATGACAGCTGCATTATAACCATCGCTGATCACTGACTTCATGACATTCTGGAGGCTGAGGCAAAAATTCTAGACTTAAGATGAAGCTTTCTCCAGATTTTTTTCCTCTTTTTTTTTTTCTTTGTTTCCCCTTCCTCTTTTATACCACAGTGGCTCAAATGACTGGTGTAGGAGCAAGAGATTCTTTGCAAGAGCATTCTGTGATATGGCTCAGGTCTTTGGTAAGTTGAATCAGTTCTTATGACCAATAGTTTGGGCAGAGGAAAGAGAACAGCATTATCTGGAAACACTGCATGAAAAGGGAACAGCATTTTTTCTCGGAATAGACTGATCTTTTGTATGGATAAGTTTAGCTGTCTTAAGGAGATCAAAACATCAATCTGTATTACCTGAGCTGTTCTCTCTACTGCATGTCATCAGTATTTCTCCAAAGAGGGAGGTAATTTCATCTCCAAAAATCCTGCAGCAATTCTCAATGAGGAACTGTACCAGACTGGAAATCTGCAACAAAGCAACGGGAGAGAGATGTCTTGTCAGATCTTCTATTATTGCACTCAGGGCAAGCTCACCATACATATGAGGAACAGGAGCAAACTGTATTCCATGATGGCAGCCAGGAACTACTTTCTCAATCTGCTGGGCCCAGATAAAATATCCTGGTATACATCCTTGTATGCATCTTCTCCATTTCTACTCTGTCCTGTTCAGAGGTCACCGCAACACAGAGCTTCTTGATGAGAGAAGCACTTCACTAATACACTGCGTATTGCTTTATGATCTCCCTCCCCCTCTTCCAGATTATGAGAATGGATAGATGAATGTTTCTAGAGCCCTGACAAGAGGACAAGTCCTGATCTGAAGAGGTATTGACTGTTTTCATGTTTGTAACCAACAGCGTGGTTGAACAGGAAGAAGGTTGGTTTGTTTTTTAACTACACTTAAGTGTCTCTTACCTTTTTTATAAATTCACTTTCTATATCAGGAGTGGAGGAAACAGGAGGCCAGAGCAAGCTAGGTGCAATGCAGATAGCCAGATTAAATGCATTCATCTGGTTCTCTTCAGATCTCATTTCTATACCATGCAGCACTCCAAAGATGTAACGTAGGAGAACAACATTAGCTCTGGGGAGCTGCTCTAATAACCTGAAAAAACACACAAATGTAATTCTTCAAGTTAATGACCATTTTCCATAGATACGCACAAGTCAAGGTAATGGAATTACAGAAACAGGGTAACATGGTCCACTAATTAAAGCCAGGAGCGTGTCAAAGAGATGTTGTTGCTCAGCTGCTTTCCCTCACTGTGTCTCTGAACAGTTTTCTGGAACAACAGAAAACATCATAACACATAATTAAAATAATGCTCTGTCAAACTAATGAACCAGTACAACATATGTCATGAAACTGTACTTCACCTGAGCTCCCTGATAATTCACTATTCACTTAACCAAAAAGTTCAGCTGTCTCTCCATGCCATCTAGTTGCCTTGAGTATATATGTGTGTAAGTATGTGTGAGGTCAGCTAGCGTACCAAGCTCTGCTTCCCGTGACATAAACTTTGCCTACTTTCTGTTTTATACCACCTGCAAGAGTAGAGGCTTCCCTTGTCACTCTACTCCAGCATTTACACACAATTCCATCTTGGCTTCAGAATGGTCACTAAAATTTGAGATGAATCAGGGGAAATATATGAGGAACTGATTTCAGCTTCCCTTTCATCCAGGACTCCAAAGTTCCCTGCAGGTGGTTTTGGATTTGATATCAGGAAGAAATTCAGGTCCTGGACAGCATATTTCCAAATCATATAAGTTTGTTTTCTTCATGAAACGATTAATTTATTTACTGGTATCCACAAAAGGCAAAAAAGTGGGACAAAAGAGTCATAAAACTGTCTCATACAGACAACCATTTAAGTATATATAAGTATATAAGTTTGAATGTTCTGTCATATACACGGAGACTTTTAGCATCTATTTTTAAAAAATTAATTGTAAGTTGAATATTTGCGATTCCGCATTCTGGGATATAAATTTATAGGAAAAGAATGCAGAGAATGTAAGTATATATTATAAGAGTATTATATAGTATATAATATAAGCATACCTTTGTATGCTTTTTATCTTCTCTTCAGTATTTCCTTGATCCAGCACAGAGACCCACTTATCACACAGCTGGGATGACAAAATGCTGCCTGGGATGTTGCGAAGAAAATCCTTATCAAGAGAAAAGAATAACAAAACACGTGAACAGCTGTTCTGGAGCATGTGAGGGAGAAGGAGTAAGACATGCAGATAGAAGAGGATGTATCTGTGCAACAGTGCTCGCTGACAAGCATATTGTAACACACAGCAACTAAAACCAGAAGAAAATCATCTGAGATATGGAAGTACTTTAGATTATGCTTAAAGTGAATATTTTCTTGCCCTTTCCTTAGCCTTTCCTGTCAAAATAGAGGTATTTGGAAGTTTCATCTGATATTGCTGAACTAAAAAATCTGCAGTGAGACCAGTTATTTTGATGTTGTATAATGTCTGTCTTCACTTATCCCTTAACTTCATTCATAGACCCTGTTTCTTCTCCTTAGCTGACAAGCTCAAATACGTCCAGATTATAAGCACTGCAAGACATCTCTGCTTTCTCTCCCCTAATCAATTCCTTTTGGTAATGGAGTACTTAAACTAGTCATGAATAGTCATACTACTCCTCTTTCCTAATACCTCAACCACTGGCAGCAAAACTGTTGCAGCTTAGGAAGAAGTCCAAATCATAGCTTTCCAAACAAGCTAGGGTAAGGGAAGCTATGATGCTTTTTTGCACAAGGAATATTGGTTTTTACATAAAAGATTGTGAGAAAAGATAGTGCATTAAAAAAAATCCAAATATTTATGGCAACGCTATAAGCTCACCAGGGTTTGTAGTGTAGGGTATTACTGACATGTAAGGAAACAGGTCTGCAAACATGCCTTTTTAGTATTTCATATGCAGAGATAAAGAGAGTAGCAGAACCAAGTTGTAACAGAGACCTCAGAAAAACTGGCAGGAAAACAAGCTGGCTAGTCCTTTTCCTCACCCTAATTCAGTGGTAAATGCATTTGGAGATTCTCACAACATTATTGTGCCAGCCCATTCTTCTTAATTCCGTCCACCAATTCCTCTTTAGGCCTATCCCTGGAGAAAAGCCCTACTTGCTTGTGCATGGGATCTGTGCTGCTCTCACCCAAAAAGGGAGAAAGGAACATTCTTCACATACCTTAAACAAAGATGCTGTCACAAATATGGATTCACAGGCTAGGTCCACTTCAGAGCCTGAATCAAGCTTCTCCTTGAGCTCTTTGAAGGTTTTTGCACTTCCAGAGCGTCTGAAAATACCCTTGGTGGAAGGGCCCTCTTGGTAAAGGAGAGAAAGCATGTCCTAAAAAAAATTAAAAGGCAGACAGGATTTCTTATAAATATATTTTATTGTCCAGTGCCATGAAAATGTAGTTTTGCCACTTCTGCCCCAGCTGAAAACCTATGAGTCCTGAAAAAGTTCAGAAATAAAACACAAGTCAAGGCTAACCCTCCAAACCATGCCAAACTGCACAGCAAAGCTGTGATCTGGGGTTCTCATTTTAGAAAATCTTATAAATACTGTGCTGCCACTGCTGAGCTCTAGCTTCCTGCATGATCTTCCAGGACCCGTGCAAGTTTCAGCCAAGTCATTTAAATATACAAACATTGTGGTATGGGAAAAGGAGAGGGGTCTACCTAATTCAAAGCTCTGCATCTGATGGTGGCCTCAGACAGACACCACTTTGCATGAAGATATCAGACCCTCACTGCTCATCATTGTAGTCAATATTATCACTGACCAGAGATAGACTTCTGTTCCATTACTGATGTCTGAAAGGAATTAGATTTTTATCTAAGTTGAAAAGCACTTTGTTAATATCTATCTGCACTTCTTCAGCAGATCAGAGTCAGGTTTTTACTCTCTTTGCTGCTTGTGAGTGGTATCATACTTTGCAAGCAGCTCAGGGCTGTCAGAGGGATCACCTCTGGGGCAAGGTGTTCCCTCCTGGGAGGTCACCCAGAGAGGGCTAAAGCTCAGCCTCACAGCTATCCTAAAGCCAATGAGGCTGCAAAGGATTAAACAAGTGGGCAGCTTACTACATGGGATACTTAAAAGGAAAGGGAAAACAAGCAGATTCCTGCCTAGGACTGATTTCTTCTGCTAAATAAGAGAGGAAAACAAGAAGAAAAGGAAATGCTGAAACTTCTTCTGAGGTAATATGTTCATGATATTTGCCAGATGCTTAGTTCTCTGCGGTCTCCTGTAGGTCATCTCCCTGACATGCTGCTCACCTCTTGCAGGCCTGCTCCAAGTGATACAGAATTTGTCATGTTTCTTTCTTCCAAAGGAGAAACACATGCAGACAGCCTCTGGGATTATGTGTATACACACAGTGGTCTGAGGACCAAGTTATCAAAAGAGACAGCAAGCAAAGGGACACTGGGGAGAGCCCATCATCATAAAACTGAATTATAGAACAGTAATGGCTAAGAAGTGGGGTTTGGGGACTTTCCTAGTCTGGGCTGTAAGGTAGGTCTTCCTGACACACAGCAGTGCAAATAAGTCTCATGGAAACTATTATTTTTATTTTTCCTCTTTAATGTTTCTTTCTCACTCTTGCAGATATTGAAGGCCGAGAATTCATCTAAGTGCAGATGCTTTGGAGAAGCACCTTCATGTCAGCAGGACTCATGTCAGCATTTTCATTTTCTTTGCAGGAATTTAGAACTCTGCCAACAAAACAGGCTGAGTTCCACACCACAGGATATTAGCACATGAACAAATGCTTTGAAAATATATTTTGATCAAAATATCCACAAGATAAAAATCGGAAGCCCCTGTTAAACTAGCAAACCCAGACAAAATTACATGAATGAAGCTAATGGTGTAAGACAATTCAGCGTGGCCATGGCTAAAAGAGAGCCCTTCAGCTGTGAAAGCAAGCTCTGAAGAAGATATTAAACACGCCTGCTGAATTCATCCCTGGTATTTTCCTTCTCTTGTAGGTAAATCCCACACAGTTCCCCAGTATTCCATTCTCCAGAGATGCTGTATGAATTCAGAAGTAAGTTATATTTTGTGGCATAAACACAATGTTTAAGATTCAAAGCATGAAGTTTACCAAGCTATGATTCTATTCTTAGTAACTCTGGGGATTTTTTCAGATAAAAGTTTACTAATATTTATGTTTTGGAGAAATTTCTGATATGCAGCATTGGCTCATCTCTTAAACAGAGAGCATGAGGGGTCAGGTGATCATATTCTTACAGAGTCTGTCTCTGGAGGGCTTATTTAAATAATCTAAATTATGAAAATACACACTTCTCCTTCTAAACAAAATAACAAACCCACACTATTAAAAGACTTGAAAAGTCCTAGTATGATTCACTATTCAGGCAATGATAAAGCAGCACATCAAGCACAAGCTTAGGAGACAAAACATCTCTTCCTGTAAACTGGTGTAACCCCACTGATTTCAGTGGGGTTCTGGCAAATTCTTCCAGCCAAAAGTCAGGCTATTAGGATGAAGGGGGCTCGCTCCTACTCTGTAAATACTTAAACTGCTGCATCGACAACAGGGCAGCCCTCAGTCCTGGCCAAAAATGCCACATATCTACCTTAATTATGCCTAGGAATGGGCTCTAGGAAACCCTTTTTCATGTTGTTAGGATGATTTTGAGAGCACCCACAGCACTAGAGCTCTCTCAAGACAGAAGGAAAAGATGCTTCTGCAGCCTCCAAATTCCCACCTATTTTTGCAGTGGTGTTATTGGATCAAAAACGAGGATTCAGAGTGCTTGCCTGTCCTGGAATGCCTTCAAGAAAGGCTCTGAAACTGTCTAGTTACAGGCAGGTGGCATTTTTATGCATGCGTGGGCTGTCTATATGGGACAGTAGATGACATATTTATGGATTTGGGAATTTTATAGAGCTCTTGGGAGTGGTTTAAAAAGTATGTGAACGTGGCATTTATTTACACTGCGTAAGTGAGGATTAGGGAACCAGCCTTACAGCATGGCTTATAAAGAAGAAATAGCCCAGAGCAGCAGGCTGATCACATACGTTTCTCAAGCTGTTATTAACTAAGCCTGACCACAGCACATGTTAAAAACTGAAGTTCTTGCTGAGAACCACAAATGAGGTTTCCTTCTGGAAACCTTTCTGGTTTCTTTGCTTGGGTACTGTCCCATAAACAATCATGTTCTCATTTACTACACAAAGAAATTCCACCACTCTAATACCCAATTCTGAGCCTGGGACTCACCAACAGGGGTTTGGGCAGGTTGTCATCCTCACAGATGGTTGTTAGCAAGAGGCCAAAGAGTTTCCCAGGAGCAGCAGATGTTGTGGAGAGGGGTGCATTGTCCAAATGAGTGCCTGGGCCACGCCAAAAAGCCCAATTTATGATAGATCTTTTCCTTTTAAATGACTTTTGGCTTAAGTCTGGGGAAAGAGAAAGGTGTTTATTAGAAGAAATGCATTTCAGTTCTAGTTCCAGTATTTGGTTTTTGGTGGTTGCTATGGTTTCAAAGGAAAAAATGTCATGAACTCAACCAATTCCTTGGCATCCAGCTAAGCCTAATCCACCATGAATATATCTGTGTGTGCATGTGTGTGTGTGGAGAATGTGTTGCCTTACTCACGTCCTGAAGAGGATACAGGATCTGCACTGCGCTGCTGGACCACAACATCAGCACTTACCACTAAGTGCAGGAGGGCAAACCTCAGTTTGCTGACATCACACAGAGCTGGACTCTGCTAAATAACTCATTTTCCACCCACATGAGCAAAACCAAAGACCTTCTTCAGAAAAGAAGGTTTCCATCCTGGCTTGCTGACCAGAGGCATCCTAGTGTCCCTGGCAATGCAGGAGAGCACCCACTCCCCCTACAAGTAACACAAGAGAATCAGCTGATGTGGTGAGATGTTTTCAGACCATGAAAAGCCACTGCCTTTGCTCTCTTATCTGCAATGCAAGAGTATCATTAGTCTTCTCACTCCAAGCATTTGCTGACCATGGCCCAAGGACAGTGCCTGCCCTTTAATCAACGCCTTCCAGATGGCATTTCAGCGTGCTGCCCACACACTGATGGGCTCTGTTTGTCCTAATTTTAGCATATTTCATGAGATATCGAAAGACCACCACTAATTGAAGCTCTTATTCTCTTATTTGCTGCATATAGAGAAGGAAAATCTGGTATTGGGATACAAAAAGGGTTTTTTCATATGACCTTTCTCAACAACAGACAGTGTAAACTCTTCTTAACAGCATGGGCTACTGCTAAGTGGGGAGGAGGTGGGGACTGTTTATGATAGAAATGCTAACTGGGAAAGACTTATTCTGATATTATTTTTCCTTTTCAAGATGTTTTCAAAGCCAATCAGCATTGATTTAGTTGCTTGCCTACCCTACACACTTTTCTATTAGCTGGTTCTTCCACCTGGTCAAACATTTTACTTTCTGCTGTTGTGGAGGGCAGAAACAAGGCTTGCAGAATTAAGGATTGTGGTATAATACCAGGTTTTTCTCTCCAATACTTTATTCTCTCCTACACTTTACTTCAACTGTTTTTTGAGCTCAAAGAGTAATTTTCATTATACGTCATTCCATTCCAGATCATGCTCCTTTTGGGAATGGGTGGAAATCTTTTCATTAGACACTATAGGATGAAAAGTTACAGTTTAATTCAAAATGTGAACATATGAATGTGAAAGCCTGATGAAAAATTCTTTTCATAAAAAATAACAAGGATATACATTTTAAGCAGCCCAAAGCTTCAAGAAATGTAAGTCTGGCAGTATCTAAGGCTTTACTTGACACATCATGTTCTGGAGAACATAACTAACCTGTAACTTTCAAAATTACTTTTTTTTCTTTCAGATGAGCTGGATATTAGCACACAAATAAGGTTTTCTTCACTTGGAGTTCTAGTCACACAGCAAATACATACTGGTGTTTTTTTCTGTCAGTCCTGTAGGTCTCAGTGGAAGTAAAAATTAAGAAAAGATGCTATTTTGGATAACAAGGAAAAGTAGAAGTGAATAAAAAAGGAGTCTTAAAATTAGGAACTCTTTTTAGTCTCTTACTGTTTGCTCCCCTCTTAAAAGCCATGTCTCAAACTGACAGTGTGAGCAAGGGGTAATTGTAACTAACTGCAGCTCTCTCCAGGGACAGGAAGGAAATCTTAACCAGTGCTCTTCAACATACCAGGGCAGAAACCAAAAACTGATGTACAGCAATGAAATGCCATGTCACTTAAAAAAATAACATTCACTGAACAACAGGAAAACTCATCCTTTTAATATCCCCTTTTTAAAAGGTTTGAGAAGTCTTAAGCTACAGAGCAGATGAGAAGGCGTGGATGTACACTTCCTTTCCTTGAACCTGTGCAAAGCTGCAATACAAGGAGAAGCCCAGGCTTCTCTCAGCCAAGACAGTCACCAATTATTGCTCTGCAGAAGTACTTCCATACAAAAACCTCAGGACACTGCTCTGGTGGATTATTCCAGGCCAGAATCAGAAAAAAATCAACACTACTTTGATGGAAAACTTTGCTCAGAGCTCACAGCAGCCATCTCTTCTGCTCATATTTTACATGAAGGGAATTTCCATTCATAGGTAGTGTCCCAGTCATGGAAGTGGCATTTCCTCTTCTTGAAACTAATCAGAAACTTCTAAACAAAACTTAAGATCTGTCTAACAGCGTAGCATCCTTTCTGATCAAACCCCTAACTGTCAACAGTTTTCAAAGACCTCCTTTCTGTACTGAGACTAATTGATTGAATCTTTGCTTTCTAACAAACAATTAAATAATAATTTGGATTACAGAGTAGCCACTGGCAGCAGTCAGTTCTTTCAATACTTTAGACATGTGCTCATGAGCATTACTTAATTGCTATGTTTAACTGGTAGGTGACCATTCCTGTTACATGCTGAAAGGCCACACAGGAGAGGTGACAGAAACACTCCAGTTCTTCCACACATTAAATTCTCTGTACTTTTTTTAACCATCCTGCCAGGACAGCTGATGTAACTACACTACCACACAGCTACTTATTTGACATGACAGCCTAGTGTCAGTCATGTCTGCCTGTCAACACCAACACTGCTGCCTAACCCTGGTGCATACTGGTGCAGCTGGTCAGCTGCTCCTTGCTGCCTCCAGAAGGCATAGCATGTCCAGCATAGTGGTATCGATGCAGGGAAGTGATGGGAGGGAGGATAGCACAGCATGTGGCAGAGAAATGTGGGATTACAAATGCCATTCTCTGTAAACTTGCCCTGTATGTGGCAGTGTGTCTAGTGGTTAATCAAAAACAAACACACAGATTTTGGCTTGCTGATCTGAAGACGAGCCCAAAGTCAGATCATAGCCTTGGTTTGCATACAGGTACCTTTTGCCATTTTCCAAAACCAAAATAGGTGAGAAGGAGTTAGGAGGAGCACAACAAACAGCGCTGTATGTGAGACAGCCTGCTTTGCAAGCAGTCAGACTATACACCGCTTTAAGAGGTTCTGTCTGATGAAAGAAGGAAAGGTGAAGGGACTAAAAGCCTTCCTCCCATTTAGACCAATCCCTGTGCATGACATGCAGGCTGCCCCCGGCTTCTGCTGCCCCAAGCTAGCCTCACTGCCCCTCTGCACCTTGCACAGCACCGATGACAACACATCTGCATTAGAACACTACAGGCCTGATTTGCATTTCTATTTTCTCTTGCCAGTCAACATCAGCTGCCAAAGCAGGGTCTGTAAACCTAATTACACCCCTTTGCTAGATTGCCTCATTCTTGAAACATGCCATGAAGTAATATGTGATACAAATTACTGTGAAGGGGGGGATGAAGGCATGCAGAAAGGAAATTAATATATATAAAATGTAATCAATTTTCAGAATAATTTATAATAGACACTAGTATAGTTTACTATATTTAATTTCTAAAAACATTACAAATGGATTCTATTCATATATTGTGGGAGATCTTAGCTACTGGGGAGTGCACAGGGTAACAGTGTACATGTTATTTTTTTATGATACAGTCATCAGTGGTGAAGTAGGGCAGAGTTCCTAATTGAGCTGCGTATGCCAGTGTGGTAAGCACAATTAAAACACACCATGGGATGTATCCCTGCCCGAGACGTAATGTCTCAATCCTGTAAAGATCTCCTTATTTCTTTTATCATGAGCAGTGCTCAGTCATTGTGTCGTTGACAACAGAGTGCAAAACAGAGAGCAGGTGCTCATATTTTTGCAGCATCAAGGCCAAAGGCAGAAGGAAATACTACTTTCTTCAATTTGTTCAGAGTACTGAAATAAAGAAGTTCTATTTGCTCACCTCATCTAAGTACTCAAGGACATGTCTAGACTGCCACTTGAGGGTCCCAGTGAAGTAGGTGTACAGCCCTAAGTACCGTATTGAGATAAAGGATGCTGCCAAATGTTGCACGGGAATTCTGTGCCGAAGTCAAGCCCTGACACTGGAATCGTAAAACCACTCAGCCTTGCTACAGAGCACAGCAAGGGCTGCAGAGAGAAGAGACTTACAAAAAATTGCAGGTAAGAGATTTTGTCTTTCTTTTGCTTGTTTTAGAAGAATCATTTGACAGGCAGCTTGTCAAAATGTAACTTACAAGGATGACACATATACAACAGCACACTGAAATCAGGGAGAGCTACATTGCAGAATCCCTTGTGCAGCTGGAAGGTACAACTGCACACTCCTCTTCACTTTTCACTACCCCCAGTGCTGGTACATTTGCTTTCTGTAGCAGAGCCAGGGAGGAAGCCAGGCTATGAGTGAATGTTGCTGGGGTGAGCGGGGCAACGTACCGTTCAGCTGCTGGCACACGGCCACTTGGCTTGGCTTCAGCACAAACTGGCACTGCAGCTCCTGGGGCAGCTGCTCCGTCAGGAAAGACTCCTGAAGCTGCCTGGGGCAGGCACAGTGCTTTGATCCATGGGGCATAGCGTCGCGAATGTGGCTCATTTTAATTCCAAAGGGATATTCATGTCCTGTTCAAAGAGAAATCATAATAATCTGTGTTGGATTGACTGGAGACTTGCAAAACTCCATCTGCCCTGGATGGAGCAGATTTTGCTTGCTGGCCTGCAGCACTTTCTCTCTCCATAATCTAAGAATTGACACTTTTCTCTATATTTACACAGACACAAGTCATACACTGGCAGATAGGGAGTTACCGTGTTTGGTGTAGTTAAGCAGATGTAAAAGTAAAATCAGACCTATTGCAGCTGTATCACATAAAAGCCCATCAGAAAATACAGATGTTTACTATTTCTACTGATTTCCTTGTAGCACTGAAAGCTTAGGTATTGATTGCTTGTATCATTCTGGAGAGAAATGAGACTTTGGGAGCAGTCATTTTTGCTAAGCATGCAAAACGCAAAAAAAATCCAGTGTGAAAGTGATCTTCCTTCCTTCTCCGTGTTAAGTGCAACAGCCACCAAGTCAGTCAAACGAGATACAATTATGGTTCTCATCTGAGGCTGAAACAGGAAGGAAACGTTAATCACAAGGCTAATGCAAATGAGCTACGCTTGGCTTTAACCAGCATCTTTGGGGACTACACAGACACAATTCATTTCTGGAGGAGCTTTCAAAAATGCCACTGGAAAGATGTTTTTCAGACTTCTCTAAAGACCGGGCAGATGAAATATATTAAATATGGACACAGTGCTAAGATGTTTTAGTTAGCAGTTAGACTTGAGCACTGAGATTGGAAGAGACGTTATTTGAGATTACAGGTAGGATGAAGCTTTGGCACAGTCAAAACTCTGCTTCTGATGCCTACCTATGATAAAAGCTGGCCTTATCTAGTAAACCTTTGCACAAATATCAAGAACAGCATCACTTTCATACTCCAAGGATTCTTCTTTTGTAATTGTAATTTGAATTTGCAGTGAAAGTCAGTCGATTAGAAAGGCTTTACCATTTCTGAATTCTCTGGCTCTATGTTTAGAGCTGTGGCTGTGATTTGTTCTGAAGAAGATACACAATAATGGTCAGAAAGCCAAAGTCTGGTATGTTTCAAAGGCTAAACAGTTTGCACTACCTATAAGGTACATCAGGTAGACCTTTTATAAATATTCATGTTGTCTGACTCCAGCGAAGCATTTGTAACTAAGGCTGCTTTGAGAAGGAATGCTAAGATTTACTGGGGTTAGATCTGCAAGAGGTAAAACCAGAAAATTCATAAGTTTTTCTTGTTAGAATCATCTGCAAACTCATATAGCACAAGTAAAGCTGGGCTTCTACAGGGAAAGGTTCTTAATAATGGGAAGGGATTTCTTCTTAGTGAATCAATGGCCAAAATCAAATCACTCCATCCAAACACTTTTGAGCTTTGGGTTGGTTCCTGAAGACAAAATGTTTTGAAAACCATTTTAGAAAGAGAATAAGCACTGATTCACTCCTAATCAGAGGGAAGCTGTCAGCCAGTACGAAAAACAGAGGATTGAAAAGGACTTCTTGAATCAGTTAATTTGAGTTAACAACAGAACATTTCTCAAAACTCTGCTGAGTTTTACTGAGGAGGGAAGTAAACAATGCTATGGAGGTGTAGGAAGAAGTATGGTAAAGCTGGACAGCCTGGAGGATGATGGCCCCAGGAGGGGGTGAGTGGAGAGGCCAACTCTGCAGAAAGACTGGGGCTCATGCAGCAAAACTGGGGCAGAAATAAATGACCTTTTCCAACCTCTTAGTGACACAAGCCCTTCAAAACAAAGGATCAGCATCTGACTAGCTCCCCAAATAGGCAAACTTGTGTGACAGGGAAGTAAGAGAAAAAACAGGAAAAACAAAAGAGGAAACTGCATTTCAGTCTTCTCTGTATTTCTTGCTTCCTTCAGCACTAAAAGCTGAGTGAATACTGAAAAACAAAACAACGTCAAGAACTTACCAATAAGAGGGTAAGGAGCATGTTCTCTTCCTGAAATCACCCACAGCTTGTAATCTTTTTCAGAGCCCTTTAAAACCAAAATTAAGAATAAGTTTGCCAGCCATTAAGGACAGGTTCATGTAAGGTTTCTCACAATATAAGGATAATCTGCACCTTGTCAGCAGCATTTACTTTGCAGTGCCTAAGTTGGCCACCAACCAGCAAAGTTTCTGAATTGTGTCTGTCCTGAGCAATCTGGTTATGTGACCAGGACTCAGCTCTGAGCATTGAGAGGTGCTGGAGCCCATCATTTCTGAGGGTAAAGGGGGAGGTTTTCCCCAATTCTTTCAGTGCTCCTGGAAGCAGAGGGATGGATGTCTCAGCCCACTCTGCCCTGCAGCACTTAGCAGCATCCAGCGCTGAGGAGAGACAAGTCTGATTCCCCAGAAGGATTACAGCTAAGCAGCACAAGGAGGAGGAGGAGGAGGCCCTGCTGCAGGGCATGGGGCAGACAGCAGGCAGTTCCTGTGAGCTGAGGTCACCCTTCAGCTCCGTCCTGAGTACCAGGGAAATCACACTCTCTGGGATGTGCTCTGCCACACAGGGACCCCCAGGCCTCACATCTGAGAACTCTGCTCCACCATCTCCCCAGCTTCTCTACATCCCCCTCAAGCAGGAGGAGCTCAGGTTTGTGAGCCTGTGACCCATGCTTAAAGGCAGGGCAGGAGAACCTTCACCCAAGTCCTGAGCCCACTCTGATGATGCCAAGGCAAGGATGGCACCCATGGGGCTCCTGGCATTCAACATTGCCCCAAAATCTCCCTGTAGGGCTGCTGTCAGCCCTTTTGAGCAGCCCTTTTCTGTGGAAGGGCTTGGAAGCACTGGAAGGTGTTTTCAGACTGCCAAGCCCTCTTTAAAATGTACAGTGGAGAGAATAAATTTACATCAAAGGAGACAATTTTCAAAAGACTGAAGAATGTGATCATCTTTGTGAAAAGCTGTGTAAAACCTCTGATTTGAAAGCAAATTCAAAATATTGCCTTTAGCATAAATATAGAAGTCAGTGTTGCAGTTTAATTGAAGAAAGAGAATAATACCTATTTCAGATATGATGGTGAGACAACAGAAGTAAAAGAATGACATTTAATATAAACCACACTCAGGACAAAAGGAAATAGCAAGTGGATAAATGCACTGCATTAAAAGTGATCTATTTTACCTTAAATTACTTTTCAGTGATACTGCTAAATCAGAATAATTAAAATCTAAAAGTTTTCTGGCTACAAAGGTGGTAAATACCTCATGACAGTATCTATTTAGCTCTATTTACCTCCTTTTAAACAATTTGCCTACTATCCTGCATTGTCTGGACCTTCACCCAGTGTCCCCAAGGCTCTTGAGACTCTTCCTACTTGCTGCACGTACCTGGTGTAATGCTGATACATCCAATAAAGCCTTTGCAGTTTGCTCTCTGACTGACAGAGCTTTTTGGCCCATATTAGCACTGCTGTTAAGTCAGCTAGCAGGGGGCAGAAGGAAAATAAATAGGCTTTGGAGACATCTCTGATGCCTCAGGGCAAGCAGCCAGGAGCAAATAAATACAGCTGAGGAGGACAGGAAAGGGTATTTGCTTTTCCTTTTACACATATATGTGAAAGGGATTGTTGCCATCAAGGGGAAGCAGGGGAAGGGAAAGAGCTAATAAGTATGGCTTTCAGGAGGCAAACTGTTCATATCCCGACTGCAAATCCTGTCCTTTATGGGCTTTATGAGGCCATTTGTCAGTATAAATATGACTGTCCCAGAAAAGTCAAAGTGTAATTACAGAGCTGGGAAACCCAAGGCCCTTCTTTCTGCCCCACTTGATAATTTGGAACAGATGATCAATGCCATTTTGCATGAGCTAGTTGTCATTTTACCAGAGAAACCACAGACGAAAAAACCCTGATGTGTTAAACCAGAGTGAACTCAGCCAAAGTAATAGCCTCATTAATCACATAATATGTGAAATGTAGTTTTTATAATTGCCATTGAAAAGTCATAAAGCTTCTTTCAAGTGGTCCTTTCTGGACATAAATAAAAAACCTCACATAAGGCAAAGCTTCCTCCCAGTCAGAACAATCCTACGAGGGGTTTGGGTGTTTGATTGATATCCAGGCTACAGCTTAATTTATTTAGCTTGTTTGATTTTATTGCTAATCTTATGATATGCCTATAATGAAAAAAGGTCTTATGCTCTAAAGAAGCAGTGAAAAAATGTAGTACATTACTTGGGCAAATAATTCTGCAGGCAAGATTTTACATCTTTCAAATGGCTTTCCTTCTTTTTCCACTTGAAATAAAAATGTAGAGAAGGAAAGGATTGATTGTAATACATACAAAAGAACACAATGCTGAAACCTAACCAGCTCCTCCTCCTGCTCATCTCAAAGTATTGTCTTTGAATACTACCATTTTCCTGTTTTTTCTGTACACAAAATGAGGAAGTGCAAATGACACCCATAAAATGGGTAAAAATGAAGCACATCACAATAAAGACTTGCAGTTGTAATATAGCATAGTCTCCTGATTTTTCTTGCAGACAATCTGCAATTAAAATCCTAATTTTTACTCACATCTTATCCTTTTCACCTTGCAACCCCCTCCATGAACTCCAGCTTCCTTAATTGAATAGACTACTGGATTCTAAGCTCAGGCCAGAGCCCCAGCCCTGGTGGAAATGGGATGTCTGAGAAATAACAAGGTGGGTAGACAGAAATTGCTGTGCCTGAGAAATGCCAAGCTAGCAGAATAGATCCCTGTATTAAAAGCCTGTATAAATTAGGGATAATGGATGTTAGTGAATACTAATTCTGAGGTTACTCCAACTTTTGCTGTGAATGTCCAGAAGCCGCAGGGAAGCACAAGAGTGGCACTTTGCTCATATTTAACTCTTCACACCCAAGGCTGTGGTAAGGAAAGACTTGACAGATTCTATGCAATGAGATCAACACGTGCATCAGGAGTAAGACATTTAAAAAACTCTTATTACCCAAACAGCAGACTGGCAGGCCAGTTAAAAAGCTGTCATCCAGGATCTTCTATGTGATCACTGGTGTTGGTTGGAGCCACATTGTGAAACAGAATAAGGGAGCCAGAATTCTGCCCTTGGCATTGATTCACTGTTACAGCTGAGGCACTACCTGGTCTGATTTAGAGCAAAGGAAGCCAGCTGAGGCAGTACTTGATATCATAGGAATCGCTGCATTTATTTGGTACTACCCTGCATTACCATAAGTCCTGTAAAAGCCTTCTTCCAAAACAGTTTCAGGACATTGCTTGAATTGGGTGCGTTCAGATCTTATGCATTCAGATTCAGAGTGGGTGCATTCAGACTCTGTGCATTCAGATTCCCTGCATCACTGTAAATCCTGTAAAAGCCTTTTTCCAAAACAGTTTCAGGACATTGCTTAAATTGGGTGCATTCAGATTTCGTGCAATCGCTTAGTTACATTCTTGTCTTACATAACTCTAAAGGTCCATGGGTATTTAAAGTACCTGATTCAGACACTTGAGAGCAGTGCTTGTACTTGCTATCTGGGGACACAGCTGATGATGCATGTTTGCACATTTTGAAACCAACTAACAGACAAGTCAGTAGGTTTCCTGTTCACACTGAAGCATGCAAAAGGAGCTCTACCAAACTCTCAGTTCTTGTGTCTAGATGTCTCCTCCTAGGCTTCAGCAAAGCAGATTTAAAAGCAACTTGAAACATGACTGATCCCTTACAGGGACGAGAGACCTACTCAAAACTTTTAAAGCACTTGTTAATCTCTGGAGGTCTATATATTAAGAAGGCACTTCTGCTGCACTTCAATAACTCTGAATTGCTATCTTAAAGGCTTTAATTAATGTTCATATCCTAAAACTTGGAAATAGTGCAAGGCAAGATCTGACTGTTATAAGAGACTGCAAAAAAAGACTCGTTAAAACTGGTGCAAGGACTTACATTAATTCCCAGCTGCTGCAGGGCCATCAGAATTACATCGTTTGCTGTATCAACATTGGTTACACTTAGGGTTTTTGACTGTGAACAGAAAAAAGGAGAAGGGGAAAGTGTCATTAAAAATTTGGATTTGCAAAGAGTATCTGAGGTGCAGTAGTTCTGCATAATTCATTGTTGGAAAAATTGAGAATATCCTGTTAAAATTTTACTTATTAAATAAATTATACTACATAGATAAAGGTTCAGCTGTTTGAGATCAAGGTTTGATTTCCTCTGCTTTGTCACATACTTTCTGTATTTGCTCCCTGCTTCCCTAGCAGCTCCATCAGAAGAGAGAGTGCCATGATTACTGGGGACATGACTTCCACATTAAAATATTCAAAAAGACAGGACTACTAACTGCACTTTAGACACTGCATAAGGGGAACCCAATGGTTTGATTAATTTAAAAGCACACAAGTTTCCTTTGAAAAAAAATTAAACATTTCAGTGAGTTTTTTCAGTGAAATATCAATTGTCAATAATTTCTGTCCTTTTCAACTGAAGTTCTCCCTGGCAAGAAAATATTGTAAACAGGCCATTCATCTCTAGTACCTTTGCTACATTCTATATAGATTTCTCAGAGCTAGATCTGGCTCAGTACCAGAAGCACTTCCTCTTGGTAATCTTTCATCCAATTAAAATGGTACCTCTGCAGCAGCCTCCAGAATCTGCTGATGGGCAGTATGGAAACACATGGAGCAGCAGAGATACCATTTTCAAAATAGTTATGGTGACCAGCATGGAGTGCCAAGCTTTGGTTGGTGAAAGTGCTGCTTTCCACAGGGCAGTCTTTCCAGAGTGAGATTTCAGCATCTGCTGCCTGGAACCAGTATTCCTCCAGTACTGCTGTGCAATGCTCTGTACCTCAGCTCCATGGATTGCTCTTATGCATCGAACACACCAGGATTAATGACTCTATCCTCAGCCCTGCTGGAATGTGGCAGCACCACTGCCTTTTGCAGAGGCAAAAACAAATGCTGAACATGTGTCAGAGTGGTTTTTGCTTGCAGCATCATACCCATGCTGGTCTCACTTCCAAGCTAACAGGTAACTCCCACACACCAAGCACAAGTTACTAAGCCCTCTTTAGAGGCTTGGCTCCACCAACAGCACTACACAGCTTTTGGATTGCAGCTGGTTCCTGGCCAGACTAAAGTCTTGGCAGAACAAAGGCATGCCCACTGCAACAAACCACCAGGCATATCTGATGGCCCAAACAAGGGAAGGTGGCAGAGCTACGATGTAGATGTTCACTCCAGTCCCAAGATAGTTTGCAATACACTGATACCTTCTGTAGTATATCAATTTTATGCTGGCCATAAGGTGTTCAGGTGAAACAACCCCCTGACATTTTGCATTTAGAAAAGATCTGAGCTGTACATTTGTGTAGGTTCCTGACGGTTACAAGCTGCCATGGCAATGAAAGGAAAGTAGTGAGAATACTGTATATCTTGCTTCAGGACATATCTGAATGCTCATACCATAAAAAATTTAACATTTGCCTGAAGCAATGACATCTGGCTCTCAGGAGTAGGTCAGCACATTTGCATAAGTTTTGCTCTTGGCTAGAATATAATAAAATGGTTTGTGCCTTGTGTTCAGCCTTCCTTACTGTCCAAAACCAAAATAATTCTTAGGCATCTCCAGCCGCTATAGCAGGAACCACAGTGCAATAAGAACTGTTTGCATCACAGAATTTCTATCTGTTCCTCCTCTGTTTTATTACTGATAATATCCAGACTATAGTGTGTCGTTTCTAGGACTGTCAGGATCAGGGGACCATATCTGGCATATGAGCTAATTACAGCTAAGGAGAAAAGGCATTTAAAAAAACCCCAACAAACTCTGGTACAAGACTGCAATCCGAGAGCATGTATGATTTATAGACTTTTACACCTGAGCAGACCTTGATCTGCAGTCTTGCATTTGAACTTCACAATTTTTGGTATTGTTTATTAATTTTTATCTTAGCCACCTCACAATTATATTATTGTTTAATTATTATTTTCTGATAAAAAGGCAGACTCCTTTATGCTTTCATCTATGCAAATACAGAATTCTAAGTGGAGATTGACCGTTGGGCAAAGACCTCCAATGAAATCTAACTTCTGTCAAAATTTCTCATTCCCTTGCACATGCTCCTTGGAGTTCTGAGCTTGAAATACAGATGTTACAAGAAAGAAAAGAAAAATGTAGAAGAAGTAAAGGAATGGATGGATTATCACTGAATGCTAGGGTATCCCTATGGAATTGGCTACATGCAAGAATTTATTTTAATTTGGTTAATAATTGCTTAGTCAAAAAGGTGCAAATCACCCTGTGAATGACCTTTTTTACTATTTATACTTTGCCTATAAATTTACCAGCATCAATTAGTTGATAAAAAACATGCTTAAGGCAATCTCAGGGTGTTCTTACACACTGCTTTCCTGACTTAAGATCGCTATGAACAATAACAGATGCTGCAGCTTCGCAGAATTGAATGAAGGCAGTTGTGGGTTTAGATAAGATTTACAAGCAAAAAAAGGGTATATTGTTCTGGTATTTCTGAAGATGCTTATTCATAAGTTCCACTAGAGGTGTTTCTTGGGACTTCACACTGTACAGTCTTTAGTTTGTATGCCAGGACCATTATTTCTTACCAAGCACACTGTCTTTAAAACGGAAGTCATGTATTAAACACAGGGCACAAACATTTCAGGGCTGCATATGCCAAGTCTTTTCAAGGGACTGAATTCTTAAAGGAGATTGCAAACCAAAGGAACCCTTTCAATATCCAAAGGATTTGCAGGTCACTAGCACTCATAGGTGATTTGGATTTAGACCCCTATTTAACTCAAGAGCACTTACATATACACAAGTTCCCACGTCTTTTGCAATTATCGTCACAGGAATCCTTTTAGGATTGTCTTTTTCCTTCTCTTCTCTTATTCGACTGACAAAACAAGTACAAAACAAGTAAATTTTTAATATTGCAAATATAAATAGCAAGACATATTTAAATAGCAATCAAGCAGTAACTGGATAAAAAGCAGGCTGTTTGCAGATGTACTGCAGTAGAAAGATCTCTAAAGAAAAGACAGCATCCAGCAGCAGCATCTGGAAGGGATGCCAGTTGTCGTCCCCAGTAATGCCCTGCTGTATCGAAGTTCATTGTAGAAATCAGAGTAGTCAGCAGAGAAAGTGAACAGAAAAAAAAATCAAGCTAAAACTACCCATCATTGTGATGCCTCAGTCCACACTAAAAGCTCCTACTGGAATCAGTTACCTCAGTATAGACTAGTTCAAAGGACTGAACAGGAGAAGAGTGAACTGGAAATCATCCCAGTAAGAATGATTTAAACAATCCAGGAACTCTGAAGAATCAGATCAAGACAGAAACCTCAACCAGAAGAACTGGTGACCAGAAAACAGAACTATCACTAATAGCTTTCTGTCCAGACACCGAATGACGTAAGACAGCTCTATTTAGACAAACCCCCCCACCACACTCTCTAGCTTGGGGTATGTTCTGTAAGACCAAAATATAACTGGCCATGAGCAGCAGACAGGTTAGAGCAGAGGTCCTGAGCTGGGCTTGCTTAGCTGCCATCACCATGGAAAGAGCTCCAGGCTCAACTAGAGCAACAGTGGCATTGGGAAGGAGCAATGTGTATTAGGAATTGCTCTGGTTTTGTGCTGAGCAAGGAAAGCAATTCCCTCCTTGCACAGTGATGGATGCATAAAAGGCATGCACCATCTTCTGCAGGGAGAAGACAAGATTTTTCCTTAATAGCACTTGGAAAGAGCTCATCTATCATGATGGCATAGGCACCACAGCTTGGGAACCACTGGTCTAGACTGGGACTCTTTTCAATGTCTTTAAAGAACATACAAAAAAAGTACCTTTGCAAAAAAGAGAGCCATGTTTCCTTTTGTTCTGCAGACCTGAAAATTAAAACAAAGCAGGGACAAATCAACCATCATTCTAATACCAAAATAGTCCTCATACAAACCACAGTGGAATGGACTGTTTCTTGGCTGGAATTTTATAAATACCTACAAAACCTAAAAGATTTATCCAGATTTGAATGAAAAGTCTGCTTCTCTGCAAAGTCAACTGAAAAGCCTGCCCACGGAGACCAAAAGCCCCAGTTACCAGTTTTTGTCACAGAATTCAAAGCTTTACCAATGAATTCAGCAGGAAAAGCATTGACTTCTTAAACTAGTGTCCAAAGAGAAGAGGAAGGCACTTTAAAATAAGAGGTTAATTCAAAAGTTTAAAGGTATTTCCTCAAGTACACAAACTTCTTTCCACTTTCACTATTCTAATTATCTTCTTATTTATTAGTTGTTTTGTCAGCACATCACAAAGTACACATAAGCCCATTGTGCTTAGTAGGGTTTAACTTTGGACATTTTAAGGCTTATCTCATTTATCTTTATCTCATTTATACCCTTTCAAGGATATAAAGCTGTCCAGTTAAATGTAGCTAATAATAGGACTGTTCAAGGAATCTTACCTAATTTTGCTTCAACTTTCTTGATTTAAATCCTGTCCCAGATGGAGTAACTGCTATTCCCACTGCTGATTTTGTAAATCAAGTTCTTCAAATTTTCAGAGAAGGCATTTAGGGAACTACAAACCTTCTGAATGATGCTGTGAGGGGAATGCTACAAATGTAAATGCTACAAATATGACTCTGCTTTGGCTGTTTCAGTTATGTTGGACAGGCATCTATGGACTCACCCATGGCATTTTAGATTTTTTGGTGTACCTCCAGACATGAAATAATTTTACTGCTATAAAATCTCTGACTCTTTCTTGATTGAGGCTATTGCTTTCCTATTCAACTACTTTCTGATATCTATAAAGGATCACATACTGTCTCTAGATCAAAGCTCATGTTTATTGGCAAGAGTTCAACTGAAAATCAATAGAAAATTTCATCTTTGTTTCAGGGCTATTAAGTGTAAAAAACATAAACAGCACAACCATCTCAATAGAGTGCAGTTTGTACACACATTCTCTTTGGCTAAGGACAATGTGACATAGAAATTAAGCTGGATACTTCAGCTTTTGCTCTCTGTTAATAAAGAAGAAAATGCATTTTCCAAGACTCAGGCAAATTACCGTGGCTAAGCAGCTGGGATTTCAGGGGGATGTGCCCTCCCTCCTCCAAAGTGACGACAGAGCCCTCCTGCTGAGACTAAAATTAGCCTAATCACTGAAATTATGTGTACTACAGTCAATGCTGCAAAGACAGATGAAAAATCTTTCTATTAAAATTCAGAGATTCTGCCTTAAGAGTAATTTTGACATTTTCTCTGGCACAATTAAATTGAACAGATAAATAGGACAAGGTCAGTATTTCACTGTATGTTTCCTGCTATTTCTGATACATGCTCTCCTGTTTAAAACTGTCTTATGAGAGTCTCTTTGATCCTTTCATTAGCTTGTCTCATATTTGTAGTTCATCTTATTAATTAGCCAAGGTGTTCATCAAGTTATACCAAAAAAAAAAAAAGATAATTTCCACTAAGCAAGTTTGCAGCACAGACAGTGCTTTGCCAAGTTACATATTTTCTCAATTTTTAAAATTATAAGAAAGTACCATTGTCCCATTTGCAGGGAGACAGAAGATGAGGTGTGGAGGGTGACTTGCTCACAGTAGTAGAAGGAATTGGTTTAACAATCAGCAAGTTGCTGCGCCCCACATTCACTGGTGTTGAAATGAATCTGTGATGGTCTCATTACCTGCCAGCCTAAAAACATTTAAGTAACTTGGTAAATAAAACATATCTCAATTCTTACCTGAAATTTGCCACACAGTTTGTGGTGGGCCAGCCCAAAACAAAGGATCTCTCTGGGTCTGTGCTGCCTTCACAGACTTCTTCTGTACAAAATGCTGTCCACATCTCACAGAGACGTGCTTGGCACTTTAGTTTGAAATGAGAGTGTGACCTGCAGGCAGAAAATCATAGGTAAGTCACACACATGAAAACATAGCACGACAGATTAAACAACTAGAGATTTTTCTTCCTTCAGGCACATGTAAAGCTTGCATTGGAGCTGATAGAAGAAACTCTTCTGCTTCAGTTAAAGAAAACAATGTTTTATTGGGTTACATGTAAAAACATATCAATTTCTTATTTGAATGGGATCAACAGACCTCTTATTTGTGGAATAAACAGATTGGTTGTGGCATCCCTGGGAATCACCCTTCTTGGGGGAAAACTTCCGTTCATATCTAGAGTTCTTCTCCAAATCTCACCATGAGGCAAAGATTGCCACTTGTACTTGAGTCTCCTTTCAGTGACTAATGCTATTGAGGAGTTTATAATACAGTTCTATTGCTTAGCCCCAGGGTCAAAAACTATGATGAGTTTAAGTAGTGACAACTAGGTCAGGGCAAATGAAGCAATCCTGAAGAAAGAACAAGCAGAAAACTGTCATCTGTGTTAACTACAGCACAGGTCACCATACAGCCTCCACGAACCAGCTGCATAGTAGCTTTAGGTCCACATCACTTGGAGAACGAGCCAGAACTTTGTGCATTCTCAAACTATTCACTCATCTATAAGGAAGATACAAAATTTCCTCAATTTTTAAAAATTTGCCCCTTCCTGTGTTTTATCCTACTAAACAATAAAGGTCAAATTTACACAATTTCATATTTTAATTTCAACTCTTTCTTCCACCTAATTTCTCATTATAAGTCTCCTTCCTTTGTAGGATTGGTGAGTGCTAGTGCTATGTGAGAAACAAGTAAAAACTCAAAGTCAATGCAGCTCTGTAGCACTGCAAAAGCTGCTCACTTCAAGCCTTGCAGTCGGAATTACCTGAGCTATGGTTCTCCTGGGCCAGCAGGGAAAGGCTGGAGGAAGTGTTCCCTACCTGAAACCGAGGGGACATGCAAGCAAGAGCATATCAGCTCACCACTGTGTTGCAAACATGATGGGGACAGTGCCAGGCACCGCGGCGATTAGGGCTCTATAAATAAATATGCCACGTAAGCAGTTTCCTAGAGCTTTGATACACATGGGCTACCTTCTCTGAGATTAGTCTCATTTACAAGGTATTTGACTTAGAACAGACTGAACTAATACACTCGGAAACACAAAAGTACTTGAACCTTGTGGCTTTCAAGAGGACATAGGTGAACTTGCAGTCAGCTGAATCCTGACTGTCTGAGGTTTCCAGCTGACATTGTACTAACATGGGTGGCGAGATGGTGTGCAGCAATGCTCGCAGTGTTGGGCAAGAAAGGACTGTCAGTGTATATCAAATCTGGTAAAAAGATACATTTCAATTTGATTGTCATAAAATACTGTAAAATACCATCTGAAGTTCCTGTATTTTTTAAACTAAAAGCTAAACACTATGTTCAGCTAAACTAAGATCATAGTGTTTCCTGATCAGCTGAACATTTCACCTCTCTTCACTATATTATGTTCTGCTACCCAATCAAAGACAAACTTAAAGTACAGGAGAATGTTTCAGCATGCTTGTTAAAAATTAGTTTATGATGCAACAAGTAAGGTCTGTCAAGAATACAAAACTAACTGTATTCTGACTGACCACAGGATGAACTGTGAAAACGTAGATTTACAAAAAATACAGCTGTGAATTCTAATGTAGATGTTAATAAATGGATGTCTGGTCTTACACCACCGAATCAATCTGTTGACCCTCCCTAACTTTTTTTTCCCATTACCCAGTACAGTGAACACTCTACATGCTGTTTCACTTTTTTAATATTTACAGTTCGTAAAGCCAGATCCCTACAGTGCCAGTAGCAGGTGTCAGCAGGGTGTTGGCAGAAGCACAAGGATGTTCTCCAATCATGCTTGATGTATGTTCTTACCCTTTTTGCCATGCCTAGTCACAGCTTTCAGCTATTATCAGTATTCAAGTGGCCTGGTTTCCAGAGGCACTGAAGCAGTAGCCTTCATTAACATCTAAAGAGCCTGAAGTATATTTTTATCCCTATCTGCCATGTCCTTTATGCAATCCATGGGTTCTCAGTATTTGTGAAAAGTGGGCCTTCTACTTAAGTGCCAGAGCATTACCTCTAAAAATGAATATATCATTGCTGACTAAGGAAGCAGCATGACTGAATGTTTTAAAAATGGCCAGACTAAAATCTAATTAATATTGTATATATTTTTAAGGAAGTCCCCTAGCAAACGTTACTGTAAACATCAGGCAGATCTCAAGTCCACTGAAATCAACAGAAAAATCATGAACATCAATGGTGTTGGTATTGATGCACTCCATGCAGGGCACTTGCAGTTCCTTTTGCTTGTAACTGGACACTTTGCAACCAATAACAGATGGAAGATTAACTTCTCACTGGATTTGCTAATCTCCTTAATAGGACCCTCCGACAAAAGCATTAATGGATCTACTGTGAGACTGCTACCATAATTCCATGTATGCACTCAACCATTAATTTCTATGTCCAGACATGTTGGGAAAATAACCTTAAAAGGTATGTGTATATACACAGGTGCATATTACAAAGGAGAAAGAGGAAATCATTTCTCTGTGCCTTCCACACAAAAATTTACATAAGAAACCTTCATAATTGAATTGACAGATCCTTGAAGTATTTACTCTGCCAAATAAAAACACATGCTCTCTGTAAGAAATCTAATCAATATATAGAAAAGAGTATATAATATTTTACATACATAACTTTGATTTAGTGAGAAAAACTCTTTCAATCAATTCATTTGTGACTTAATCCCCATGTGAAGGCAGTGAAGGACAGGGCAGCAGAGGAGCACAACATGTGAGTATTATTCTTATTTTTTATAAGCTGGTATAATGCACGATCAGAAAACATAACAGTCTACATTTCAGAAATTATTAGAAAGTAGCAAAAAATGAACCTAGAGGCCCCTTGTCCAAAGTCATACATGGACCGGTTGTGGAGAGGATTTATTCCTCACGAATTTCCATGGGAGCAATGCCAACTGGCTGCCTTTAAGGAGGAGCTCAGTGCTATACAGTACTTTACTCAGCAAGCTCAGAGGACACAAGATACTTGTTGCTCTCTTTAGGAAAAACTTGTTTGCTGATCATACGAAGACTAATTACACATGAGCTCCCTTTGTACAGTTACTGGCTACCTGCAGCTGAGCTGACACGAGCACAGCACTGAGCTGTACTGAAGATAATGTAGGGGTTCATATGCCTCAAGCCAAAAAACTACTTAAGACAAAAAGAGTATTACAAATTTTTAGCACTTTCACAAGGAATAATTCTGTAGTTAAGTCAGATTCAACTGCATCATTAACTCTGTCCTGGTCTGACTGCTTTGACTCTGCACCAGGCTATTAAAAAGTCAATAGCAATCAACAGTCACGGCCACATAGCAATACACACGCTCAGGTCTTCCTTCTAGGAACCAACACTGGTAAGACAGCTTTAAAAATGCTGTAAGTAGTATTCATTAGTGACAGCTCTGATGCATTAATTGCTGACAGAGCAGCTGTAAAGAGAACATCCCAATTAGATCTTCAAAATACATGAAGTAATATCACTTAAAATACTATTTTTACCATTTCTAGCAAAGACTTGCCCCCCTTCCTTTTTCACATGCAAAAGCACAATTTGTTCTCTTCCACCTTTCTCAAACATTGCAGTCCCTGCTCCACATTAAATCACATGCTGTAAGAGCTGTTATTACTCCCTGGGGACCAGGGTTTTGTGCAGTTACACTGAGTAGTGCTTTCCTATGCAAATAGTCCCATTGGGACCCAGTCAAACCTGCAGTAATGTGCAGCTCAGCTTGGGGCTGTAACATAGCTTCTGCTCAGCATGCTGACCAGGGTGGGAGGGATTTACCCCTTCTGACTTCAGTCGTCTACAATTTAGGAGCTACGCTATGCTGGATAGCCAGTGTATGGAGTGAGAGACCCCCAAGAACCTGACTCTCCTCACCCACTATCGACACTCTTTCAGCTCCAGGTGAGTTTGCTGCATTAAGGTGCTGGTTTTGCCTCAGTGACTGTAAGAGGGGCCTAGAAACCTGGGTAAGTTGCAAATAGTTCACGTTTTAAAGCTGAAATCAGGTGAGGTGAATTCCACTCTAAACAAGCAACAAACATAAGTCAATACAGTAACAATGTTGTTATTGCTACTGCTGGTAGAATAGCAAGATTTCCCCTAAATATCCTTACGTTCACCACCCACCCATAGTGGAACATGTTTTGTGTAAAACATCCTCTGTGTTGTCACACCACATCAAGTGAGGGAGTTCAGCTGGGAGGGTTATGTTTACCATGTGTGATTCAAACAGACACGGCTCAGATTTCTACAGAAAACACAGATTTCTTCTGGCTTTTCCCAGAAGCCCCTGAAACAATTGCTTAAGCGAAATGACACATTGCAAAAGCCCAGGATTCATACTGAGATTGCCCACCCTGTGAAACCACAACACAGTGCCTTACAGAGAGTGAAGCTACATCAGGATTTTTTATTATTTCCCCATAACCCATAACAACAAGTGAAAGCACCCTCTAAAACTGCCTTAAACCACAAATGCTGCATGAAGCTGGCATGCTAGACACAGCTTGTAAATGTGATTTAATTGTGAATGGTAGAGTGAATAATCAGAGCTCAGCAGCAAGCCTGATTACACATGAACACTACCCAGACTGCCCAGCATCGCTTCCCCTTCCCCATGCACAGGACAAACTGCAGAGACATACACCGTAATGCCATCTGCAATCTCTATTTTCATACAGCTGCTCATCACTGATGTGTATCCAAAGCAGCTTCCAGGTAAGGGTTAAGACCTCTAACCCCACAAGTGGTGTTATGCACATCCCATGGGACTGAAGATGCCCTGTCTAAAACATGACAAGTTGAAGGTAGCACAACAGACATAGCCGAGCACCAGTGAGTCTCTTCTGTGACACTGCACTCCCAGAGCAGAGAAGACTACACAATGCAAGCAATACATCAAAGAACATCTGATACTTCCTTAAAATGTTGCATCCTGGAATTCCTCTATGGCTACGGGCCATACTCACTTGGACTTGGCAACAACCAGAATGTCTGTGAAGAGAAAAAGGTGTCGCTCCTGGGTTTGCAGACTTGTCTTCAGCTGCACATGGCCATCCAGGATGAACGTTCGGTTGTGGCATATGAAAGACTGCACAAGAGGCCATGCCTCTGGGCTGATGGGGGACAAGCAGCCTTCCCTGAAAAAGGAAATAAAATAAATGGGATAAAGAAAATCAAATCAGCCAGTTGCCTGTAAACTGAGAACCAGGCAGTGAATTCCCATATCTGCTGTCAAAAAGCAATTTATTTGACCACATTTCAGTGAAAGGTGAAAGGGACTAAGAGGATAATTCAGCAGTCAGATTCTGACAGAAAATCTATTAGGGACTGTCTTCACTGAATCTTTTACAGCCTAACCACATCTAGCATTTAGCAAAGGACAATAATTTAGACATTTTATCTTTTTTTATTCGCTTCCCTTTGTATTTAAGTCTTAGACAAAATACTTCACCTTCTGTAGGCTCTCCAAAAAGAGAGGAGACATATGCATGATGAACAGATAACTGCACAAACACCTTGCTCAGAATAGGACTCATATTCAGGGTTAAAAGTGATTTATAGAAAGTGTTCCAACCAAGGACAAACATAAGGTGTAACCGAACCTTGCTAGAGACAGACCATGTACTAGATGCAACGTGAGACAAGGCTGCTCGGCCTTTCTCTCTCCCAGCATACAATCCACAAACATTGAAGTAAGCTCCTGTTCCACGTTTTGGTTGTGTGACCAGAGCTATGCTTGTCTAAGTCTGCTGGGTAATCCAAACCCAGGTCTATAGGGAAAAAAATCAGACTGTCTCCTGGAAGACACTGATCTTTTCTAAGGAGGTATTGCAGAGTTTATAGCCCAAGGTGGTGACATGATTCTCTCAACCCCTCCTGTTCTCCATAAAGTAGTGGAATAGTTACTGAAGCAGAAATAGAGTTTCCCTAGCATGATGGTCAGCTCACTCACCCAAACAGGATATCCTTCATTTCTGAGTCTTGCTCTAACAAATGACTATTTATATGGAGCCGAACCGAATGACTGTGAGGGTCTGAGAGGATGACACTCCTTCTCTAGGGCTCACTAGATGCTTGTTGCAGGTCAGGCTCTCCCTTTGAAAGCCAGAGACGTGGCTTCCAATTCTTACAGGAAAGTGTGAGAACTGAACCTGGGTCTCTTAAACTCTGGTGGACCTTAAATAATGAATTTCTGGATTAAAACCAGGACCCATCAGTATCTTTACTCATGATTTTAAAATACAGCTTTCTAGTTATTTGCTTTCCCTAAAGATGCCTCCAAGTGAACCACTTCCCTTTGGTAAAATGGGTCAGTTCAATTTTTATTAAAATGTATTATTTTTTCTTCTTAAAAAAAAAAATTAAGCTAACACTTGGCGGGATCAGCTTGGCAAGGACAGGCTGAAGTGAACAGCTTTGCAATTCTAGTTTATTCCTGGCCCCACTGGAATGAATGACAAACACCTAATGACTTTGTTGGGAGAAGAAATGGAACTCATACAGTGAAAGTCACAAAACGAATTAGGAAGGAAATGAAAGAAAACAAGAGTGAGCAGAGAAAACCTTCAAAGAAGGTCATAAACCTTCTTGTGCCTCTCTTAGAGCCTAGATGACCCACAACCCTCCTCTCCTTGATACTTGTGGCTGGATTATGAAGGAAATTATTTAGGAAATCCTGACAGCTGGGAGAGAAAGGATAAGCTCTGAGATTGGCCTACATTAGCAGGACACATTTTCATTGATGTGTAAGGAGCCGGTGAGGATCTCTGCCTGCTGGGAAGAGCCTTGTTTGGCCTTGCATTCCCCTTTCTGGATGGGAATCTGAATTTTTGAAAGAATTCCTCAACTTATTTTGTCTTAAACTATGTCTTAATCATGTCTTTCATTACATACCCCTTCAGGGGAGAGAGAAAGAAGCAGAAGGGGTGTTTAGGAGTGTGGAGGTTAAAGCAGAGAAAGGAGTTTTGGAAAGGATCATGTATCACTGTACAACAGTGATACATGCTGTGTGGCCAGCAACAGGAATTAGGGGAACAACGAGCACCTCTTCTACCCTTCCACTTCAATGGGATGGGAATTCACCAATTCACCAGTTCAATGGTGAGTGTTAGGCAACCAGGACTCCATTTCTTTAACTCCTTAGCAGTGCTCAGCACAGAAACTTAAGCAGAAATCAGGAATGATGATGAATTGACCTGCGTGAAAGCCATCCATGGTCCTTACCTCAAAGATTAAGTCAGTGATATAGTCACTTGTATTTGAACCCAGTACCAACAACAGCCAGGAAAGCCCTCTCCATGTTACACTGCTGTAACTAAGTTAGCAGAAGCATTCTTAAAATCATAGGGTCAGGCTTTGCTGTCTCCATATAGGCTACTCTGTTTCATTATTCCTGTTTGTGTATTTTCTACATCCTGATTTGTAAGCCCAGGAACCCCTCAAATTAAACTAAGCAAAATCTTTTTCATATAGGTATGCAAATGAAGGTGTAGTAGGTTTAGTAATGCCAGTAGGGTCAAGCAAATTGAACTGTGTTTTGACCCAGTGCCTTTCAAGCACATCTGTCATCTGAACTCTAAAGCACTCTTACATACTCTAATATTAGGGTTTACCTGATAAGCCTTATTAAAAAAAAAAAAAAAAAGAAAAATATTTTCTTCCTTAGAAACAAAGGGGAAAAAAAAATCAAAGTCATTAATTCATCCAGAATCTTTTAAGGCCTCAGGAACAAGAAACATGGAGGAAATTCATGTCAGCAGTGCCAAAAATGTTGTTTGGAAAGCATGCTTTTGATCCTCTCAATTAATGTTCCATTGTTACAAGACATGAATGAAACCAAGTGTTGTTACATTGAACAAAATGCAGATCAGCAATATCCTTGGGCATAGGGATTCATGTGAGAGAGGAATTTCTGCAGTTCAGTTTTTACTGGCTCAATGATTTTTCTGGCCACTAAACGAGTCTAGTTTTGAAAAAGTGCTAAGTACACAAATACTGATTCTCTGAAAATTCCTTTTAACAGAGTTAGGCAAAACTCTGTACTTAACTCAATGTGATTTCTGATATAATTTAAAAATAAGTCAGCAATATAGGGCTCTCTCTGCCTTCGCTATATTTCCCTAAAAGTCACTTTATGATTAACACATGTAAAAATCCCACAAAGCAACATCTTTCCAGTTTGGCAGGAAAAAAAGCCATCACTCAGGTTTGTTAAGAAGGAACTGTGAACTGATTCCTGAATAATGGGGATAGACGGGGATCCTGCACAGCCAGCAATCAGTCATGTTCCATTTTGTGTAGAGGCAAGGCTGACACTGATGTTTTGATGGCATTGCCATTGTAAAATGCTAGTCTTAAGTGGACAGTTTTTCCTAAAATACTATTTCGGAAGACTGACATTGCTATGTGGGATTTTAACTAAGGAGAAACTCTTGTAGTTTGACGATATCTACAAAATATTCTTGACTTATTCAGAAAAAAACTCAAATCACTGTACTGGCTAAAATTAGTGTAAAGATAATTGAAGATTTCTCTCCTGGCTTTTTCAGAAGGTAAATTTTTGCACCTGTTATTTTTCAAATTAATCAAAATAGGCATTTAGTGCCTATTCAAAAGACACTATGATTTAAAAGAACTCTTCAGTTTTGTAGGTGAAATATATGAAATTGAATTCCACACTAGTCAGCCAAACACTGAAAAACACATTCCAGCTGCATTCAGTGTGAAAGCAAACACATCAATGCTCACTTCATCGATCCTGTATTTACCAAAAGCCATAAAGAACAAAAATTACTTCTTTTTTCCCCTGCAGAGCTTCCTTGGGGTTTCCAATAAAACTGATACCTAAACAGCATGACCTACAAAATGTTTATTCTTGGTGTTAATGGAGATGTCAGCTTTATTTTCTGTTTGTAGTGAAAACAATGAAAGAAATCATACTTTCCTAAGGAGAGTTTAACAGCCCACATTAAGCGGTTACTAAATCCGTGATCCAAATGTCATTTATGCCAATGGGAAGCTTTCCCCTGATTTCAGTTGATGATTACTTCAGCCTATCTATGATTTAGATTAAGCTATAAGATGCCTCAAGGGAACAATCTGTTCCGAGGTGGCTCAGCTGGAATGAGCTATTGCAGGTATCTCGGCTGTAAGACATCCCTCTCAGAGACTGCTCATGCTCCATCATAAACCTCACTCCCTTGGTTTATTTATTGTTCTCTACCAGAACTTCTCTCCGCTGATGATATCGTTGCAGTCGCAGAAGTCGATTTCCTCTTATGATGCAGCACCAACACTCTCCACATGACTGATACCTATTGAAATAAAATGCCATTTTCCTTTTTAACCTCTGAAGTCCTTCACAAGAGGTAGGTGAGAAATCCACCTTTTCAGTAGCAGAATAGTAAAATGGCAGCTATTCAAAAGGCTGAAACCTGAGTCAGCCCAGCCACGTGAGAGGCTGCACTGTCAAACGCACATACGTAATACCTTTCCAAATTCCTCTTACAGTGAACAACATAGCCTTTATTAATTTCACACATGTGTTCTGTAAGCAAAACTACTGCGTGCCTCCAGCAGTGCTGAAGCCTGAGTAAGGGTAGAAGCTCTTTCCAATTTTCATAGAATCAATCATAGAATCATAGAATATCCTGAGTTGAAAGGGACTCAGGAGGATAATCAAATCATAGAGTCATAGAATAGTTTGGGTTGGAATTGACCTTTAAAGGCCATCTAGTCCCATCCCCCTACAATGAGCAGGGACATCTTCAAGCACATCAGATTGCTCAGAACACTGACCAACCTGACCTTGAATCTTTCCAGGCATGGGGCTCTTAACACCTCTCAAGGCAACCTTTCTTACAGGCCACCTTTAGGTACTGCTCTAAGGTCTTCCTGGAGCTTTCTCTTCTCCATGCTGAACAGTTCCAATTCTCTCAGCCTTTCCTCACAGGAGAGGTGTTTCAGTCTAATCATCTTCATGGCTCTCCTCTGGACCCAGTCCAACAGGTTTATGTCCTTTCCGTACAGAGGACCCCAGAGCTGGACACAGAACTTCATGTGGAATCTCACCAGAGGAGAGCAGAGGGGCAGAATCACCTCCCTCGACATGCTGGCCACACTACTTTTGATGTCCCAC